AACTTTATTTACTCAACTAGAATCAATCACTGTTCATGCTTAGAATTCGGTTCCCCGGGAACCGAATTCTGAGTTGTTTTCAATTTTTTTTTTTGCGTTTGAGACCCAGTTTGGGCGAATCTGGGAAGTGGAACGAACTGTTCCGGAAGCAGAACGACCCGTTCTGCTTAAACACATAGAGTGTTATTTTTGAAATTGGAACGGGTGCAGAACCATATTGATCATTTTTTTCTCCCTCATCCCTACACAGACCCCTCCAACCCTCGTACTTTGATTGAAGTAACTCTACCCACAAATGTCCTCTTTGTTGCCAGAGTCCCCATCTCCATTTAGCTAATAGTGCATCATTAAACATAGTAATACTTTTAATTCCCAGCCCTCCATTCTTTTTCTCATCACAAATTTTCTTCCATCTCACCCAAGCAACTTTCTTACTACCCTCCTTGACTCCCCATAAAAAATTGCGTTGTAATGTCTCCACCTTCTTTACAACACCACTTGGCATCTTGAAGAATGAAAGAAAGAACAAAGGAAGAGAAGTAAGGACAAAGTTGATTAAACACACTCTTCCTGCCAAAGACAAGCTTTTGTGTTTCCAAGCCGCTAATTTCTTTGATAACTTTGCAACAATGCCATCCCAAGTCCCTACTCTCCTTGGATTTGCCCCAGTTGGTATCCTTAAGTATGTGAATGGGAAAGACATCCTTCTGCAATTCAAGAACGTGGCATATTTTTCGACTGTACTTGGTTCAACACCATATGCTCCAAAACTGCTTTTTATGAAAATTCACCTTTAAGCCTGAAACCATCTCAAAACATCTCAACATGCTCTTAACCACCATGATATTATGTAAATTTCCTTCCCCAAAAATGATTGTATCATCTGCATATTGCAACAAGTTGATATCCACATTGTTTTTTCCCAGTTTAAAGCTCGCAAACATATTATTTTGTGTTGCCTGTCTCATCAATCCACTAAGGCCTTCAGCCACCACTGTAAAGAGAAATGGTGCTAAAGGATCTCCCTGTCCAAGTCCTCTCTCCATCCCAAATTCACTAGTTGGACTACCATTTACCAACACAGATACAGATGCCGATGTCATACATCCCTTGATCCACTTTACCCAAGTATCACAAAAACCCAACCTCCTCAGCATATAGAATAAGAACTCCCAGTTCGCCGAGTCATATGCTTTCTCATAATCTACTTTAAATACAATGCACTTTTTCTTCATTCTCTTAGCTTCCTCCACCACTTCATTAGCAATCATCACACTGTGTAGGAGTTGTCTTCCACCTAAGAAAGCACTTTGTCTTTGATCAATAACCTTGTCTAGCACCTTTTTCAATCTTCTTGCTAATACCTTGGAGACTATCTTATATATACAACTAACTAAGGATATGGGTCTATAGTCACCCAATCCTCTTGGATCGTCTCCCTTTGGTATGAGGGCAATAAAAGTTGGATTTGTTCCTCTTGAGAATTTTCCAGTTGTATGAAATTCCTCCAAGAACACAAGAAACTCCTTCTTCATAACCTCCCAAAAAGCCTTAATGAACTTGAAATTTAGTCCATCTGGCCCTGGACTTTTTAGGCTAGCACAGTCCCACACTGCTTCCTTTACTTCTTCCTCATCAAACTTAGCCACCAACATTAGATTGTCTTCTCTAGTGATTTGTTGGAATAGAACACCATCAAGGCTCGGTCTCACCCACTTTTTCTCAGAAAATCGCCTACTAAAAAAGTTCTTGACTTCATCTTTCACTTTATTTGGCTCTTCACACCATTCCCCCTCTATATGTAATCCCTTCAACATGTTTTTCTATCCCATCAAGAAGTTGTATATTGTGCCTTTTGTGTATAATGGGATCTCATTGACTTTAACCACTAAAAATCCTTATTGCTTAAACTCAAAAGATCAATGAAAGGTGATTACTTATTTGTGAGCGAGATCATAAGTGATAAATGATGGAAAAGATAACAAACAATAAAAATTCAAGTATGGGAAACCACTAAAAATCGTTATTGCTTAAACTCAAAAGATCAATGAAATGTGATTACTTATTTGTGAGCGAGATCATAAGTGATAAATGATGGAAAAGATAACAAACAATAAAAATTCAAGTATGGGAAAGGATAGTGTAAATCATTTTCATTGCATAAAAAAATGTGTTTTTTATTATTATTTTTAAAAAAATTTATGTACATTTTTATTGAATTTGAGATTGTAAACCATTTGATCATGTTATAGAGTTTTTATGTATTTAATGACTTAAGATCACATTTAAAGTTATTAAAATCTTAAATTAATGTTATAAATATCCTCAATTTATATGTTCACATTTTTTTTTCTTATTAGAATTCTATTTATGTCATCTTTATTCATTATAACTTAATGTTAAATTTAAAAAATAATTTATATCTTTTAAAATAAATTTATATTAAATAATATACTTATATTCTTGTGCATCACACATATCTAAGAACTAGTTATTAAAATAATATTTTTATTCTTTTAATTTCATTGATTTTGTCCAAATATTAAAAATAATTGTTTTTTACGTAAGGATATTCAAATAAATATCTAATAATTATTTGTAATCATTTATATTATAAATCCTTTACTAATTATTAACGTGGAACTTTTTTTTTTAGGAATTAAGTTGGAACCTAAAACATATTTATTACCTATTAAGGTGTTAATTAATTTTATATATTCATTTGATTTTAATTACTTTTAGTATCAATTTATTTTATAATGAAATTTATATAGAAATATTTGAGAGAGTTTTTGGAATGATTAGTGATGATTTACAGTATAAAATATTTATTAATAACAAATATTAATATATATTTCAATTTTTTAATTTAGTTGAATCTGTCAAAATATTTAAAAAGAAATATTTTTTTTAACATAAAATCTATATTTATTTTTATCCCTCTTTTTTATAAGTGAAAATAATTATTTATAATTTATAATGATTTTATTTGTCTAAGAAAAGATATAGACACTTGATTAATAATTGGTTATAGCAAGAGATGTTTGAATATACATAACAATATTTTTGGAAGGAAAAATAATTAAGAATAATATTAAATAAAACTCTAATAATAATTAATAATTATAAAAAAAATTAATTATTTTAATTTTGTTGATTATGTTCAAATATTAAAAAAATGTTGTTTTTTTAGGTAATAATATTTAAATTGATATCTAATAATTATTTGTAATCATTTACATTATAAAACTTTTATTAAAACGTCTTTATTAATTATTAAGGTATTAATTATTTTCATATATATTTTTTAATTATTTTTATACTAATTTATTTTAGAATAGCATTTATATGTATAAATATTTAAAAGAGAGTTTTTGGAGGAATGTTTTGCACAAAAGAAGTTGTTTTGTTTATATTATTTACAGATATATTTTTTTTCATTTGACTCTAAAACTTAAAATTGACCACTCACAAAATAATTATTTTTTATTTTAACTGCAGGAAAATTATATAAGATAATATAATAATTATCCCTTTTTTAGTTGAGACATGGATTACCTCATTTTCTACTAATATATAATAAATATTTAGTATGTGAAATGCACAAATTGAAAAGATAGTTGCAAAATATTTTTTTTTCAAGATTAATGGAATAATTAATATTTTTTCATTCAAATATTTTGATTTCTTTTTATGCAAATCCAATCTTAGTTTTTTATATAGGTAATTTTTAAAATTTGACCAATGAGTTCAATCACCAAATATACTACAATTAATACTCAAAATAATTACATTTGATAATAGATAATCGACATTATATATATTTGATTAGTGAAACTGAGATACTGTATATTTTTATATTTATTTAAAGGTATTTAAAAATTATTAATGTTTATTAAGTTGATATTTATTTAATTTTTAAATCTTAAGATTTTGGATTTAGTTAATTTTTAATATTATTTTTTATTATTTAAAAATCTAAAAATAAAATAATCTAAAATGTGTATACAAATACAAGGTATCCCTATTAGGCATAGATAATACCATTTTAACCATTTGTGAGGTTGACATTGCTGCCTTTCACATTCTTCAGATTCCAAACGTGACTGATCAAGCAACCATAAAGAAACAGTACACGAGGCTTTCAAGTTCATTGGCCAAGCCAATGAGGTATTGACTCACCCACCAAAACCTTCTTTCTTTCACAACATCTACATCTTTCGACCCTCTGCGCCTCGTTATACAATTATTACAACAATACTTATACCTTATACGTCTGATTTTACAAATTATCAGAAAATTTTGTAAGATACAGTCGATTGCATTATATTATTTCTAGAACTAATCTCATACTGTCTGTCAACAATCTTCAATATTCTGAAAGATGCCTATGTTCGACAAAATGCAAGAAGATCTTCTGAAAAAAAACAAGAAAACAATATGAAAGTCACCAAGGAACCACTAGGGGATGTCGGTTACGTTTTTAATTAAGAGTATAATATTCTGAAATAAGTTTGAGGATATTTAATTCATGTTAATTGAATTAAAAATGATTTCATTGTGTACTTATGTTTAGGATATAGTGTATTATGTTTTTTCACTATTATGTTTTACTTTATTAATTTTAGAGATATACAGTGTCTGTTTTCGTGCTAGTCAATAATAATGATCTTTTACAGTTATATTATATGAATAAACAACCAAATCACGAGTTACTAATTCCAGCCAAACTCTTTTCACTACTTCATAAAAGTTAATATATTAGTTAATTTGGAATATTAGTTTTATCAATAATCAATAATATTATTTGTATAATTTTTTTATAATTATCAGTAAAATTGTTTTTTTAAATTGATTAATGCATCTCTACTTCAGGTTTATTTATTTTTGGTTAAAATCAATGCAATAAACAATTACAAAGGATATTTTTAAGGATTGAGACAATTAATTTTTCAAAAAAATCTAATAAATAAAAAGAGAAGTAGTATACAACAGCACGTTCCAATAGGTTAAAGCCAAATAGATTGCCATACAAATGAACTCCATAAACTTGAACTAGCACTAGCAATAACACGTCATGGGGCAAGGAAGTCCTAACACAAATTGAAGGGTGACATTAATCAAGCTCATTGACTTGCTCTATTGGTGAAACAATGTATATTGTAATGTACAAAGAATGTGGAATATGTACACTAGACATAGTAGGTTGCTGTCTGGAAAACCAGCAAAAATTCTTCACACTGCGATCTTAATAAGAAACTCATCAAGTCACAGTTTTAGTCCTTTTTGTAACATCCAGCGTTATTGTGTTCAAACTAAAGAATGAAGAAAGGTGGAAAATGTGGCCACATTAAGCCATGTTAGCATTCATAGAACCAGATCACTAATTCCGAAATATGCAGTTCCTTTATGAAAGGCATTAATGACATAATCAACTTGTATTTGAACCAACGGGGTTTTGAATCGAATGCCACCCCCAATACCAAATCCAATTCCTGGTTTACCATGCCTCTTTCCTGGATTGTCTGTAATTTTCATTGAATTAAAATGTTAAAGCTACAATTTAACACATGTTGATCAGAGTTAAACAAGTGATATACGTCTCATACTATATATAAGGATCTCAGAAGCAAAAAATCACGTGCAGATGTAAACCAACGATGTAAAGATTATATTGATCAATGGAGAGCAAAGTTGGTTAATGTTAGTAGAGATTGATCAATTTCCAAAAGCATAGACCAATTAATTAATATCCAAAAAATCATGGACCAGTATTCATTAACATGGATCGATTGTAGAACAAATTGACCAAGTTTTCAGACTTAGATGAAATATGTAGTTATTATATGTGATCTGGCTGAATAAGGAGAGAGTTTTCGGAGGTAAACTTGTGACTGGATTTCTGAATGATTAAATATGAAACTCACTCGGAACTTTATGGCTACTCCACAGGTCAGATCCACAGTCCAGGAAGATAACACCTGTTAGTTTCTGGTTCTGCAAATAGAGAAAGAAAGGTGATAATCAACAATGATCAGTAGATATGATAAATATTATAAATTCTTAGAAATGAGTCATGATGGATATTTATCGAGATTATATTGAAATGAGTTTTTCATAAATTCTTTATGAATAACAGAAAACAATAATTCAACTTGGGAAAAGAAAAGTTAACAAACATTTATTAGAAGAATAAATTAGAACCTTAGCAAAAGAGCATTCATGATTTTCAGGTTGAATAGCACTGTTTACATGAATATCACGTAAAGAAGAAAAAAGGAAAATACAGACAAACGTATAATATTATTTGTGACACATGTCAATTAATGAGCAATATATATACCAATGGGATTGATAATTGACTTGTAGATACCAGACACGACTGTCCAACACCAACTGCACCTTCTCCATAGCCTCTCACACTACCAGGACCACCAATTGCAAATGCTTGATATGGAGCAAAGCATCCCATAACTGAACCACCACTCATCCTACATGCCAGATAAGATTGCAAAATTGATACAGCTATACAATAATACATTAAGCTTTTCTATAAAGTTAAAATCACACATATATACCATAGTTTTTAAAGAAGTTAAATAAATATAGATTCTATAAAAGTTAAGTGCATATGTTGATTTCAATTTATATAAAAAGTTCATTTCATTTTTTTTTCTTGCGATGGCAGAAGGCAGTAATGCATGATAAGTACTGAACTGAATAGAACTCACCGTGAGAAGAACAATGCTGGTCCAAGTTTGATTCCTCTTGCAGCAGAAATTTCAAACCGGTAGTAGGTTAACAAGGTTGGTGGAATTGGAGTCCCTAGTTCCATCCGAACACTATACTGAATTCAAACAAGTACTGTATAGTTAAATTGGATATGACTAGCACATATACAAATGATGGTTACAAGTTTGCATCATGCAATTAATTCCTCACTCTTGGATTACCAATGAAGGTAACTTACGTTAGTAAAGCCGTGTTCACTTTCATCTTCAAATCGAGATTCTTGACTAACGACTATCATGTTGTCAGATGGACCTCCACTACGTCGAATTTTAAAAGTATGTGGTAAGTCAAAACTATTCAAACAAAAAGAAAAGAAAAATAGGTTTAGTCGAATAAATTTCATCAACCTGCGAGTCAGTGAAAAACCATCTCGATCTGTGCTTATAGAGCGACCTCCATCGTGCGTAAAGTGAAAACGCTACACAATTGATCGTGCCATTTTTCAAACCCAACAAATATGAGCAAGAATCTCTACATTAGAGAAAGGCATGTATGTTGCGCTTAAATGAACAATGATTGCAAGTCAAGAATAAGAATTAAAGAAAACCAACATTAAATTACTCCTCCAACCTTAAAGTACACACTGGTTGCTTTGGCTTTAGTAGAATCAGATTCAGAAGGCTCAATATAATCATACCCAATTGAAAAGTTGGACAACCTTACACCTCGAGTTAGGGAATTGGAATAATTGTTGGATGGAATTCCATGGATTCCAACCTCGGGTGAAACTGAATGCTGTAAAGGAAAAAATAACTTCATGATCAATGCCATAATTAATTAGTTTCTTGATTAATTTCTTGCAATAAAGTTTGAGCCAGAATGCATGCATACAACAGTACAAAGTACAAACCTTAATGGTCAGAGATGGGGGACCAAGACCTAGAGGTCTAAGATGCCTATACGTGGCCAATAGATTTGAATCATGCAGCCCCTTGTGCCACAACAAATCAAGCCAATCGCTGTAATAAAATAGGCCAGGGTGCCTCAAGCGAAGGCTGCAATGAATGACATTAATGTAAATATATATATATATATATATTTGGTTATTTATTATTACAACTTTGAAATACCCAATTTGATGCCACTGCATGCGAATATAAATTAGAAACCAAAGCAAATGGTGTACCTGCCATTAGCCAGAGAAAGCATACCACTAGATAGCCTGTGAGAGTTCATGAAAAAAATCATGAGAAAATAAATAACTCAACCAAAAACATATTCTCAGTTTGAAGCTTATAGTCAAAAACCTGTGAGGGGCTAGCATACATAGCTTTTGAATGAAATCAACTCCAACGTCGAGCTTTGCTGCCATGCACGAAATTCATATTAATGATATACAAAGTTATTATTTAGCCAATTAGGCATGCATGAAAAGAAAATGACATATAACAGGAACAATTTTTGTTTGAAGCGAAACGAACATCTTCTAAAATGGATACTTTTGTTCGCTCCCATTTCTGAGGGACATGCCCCAGTCTTCGTTCAACACTGCAAGAATGGATAGGAAACGATGAAGCGGAAATTAAACATAGTTTCGTAATTTGGCGGAAACGTGTACATATCAGTTGGAAAAGGTGGAGGTATTCCAAGCTTTCTAGCCTTGACATTCTTTGTTTGACATGGATGTGAAGTTTTGTCACATGTTGCTTCCTCATTTTTCTTTACCGTTAATGAGAGAATATACTATGATATGTAAAAAAATTCTACATAAATTGGTTTGAAGACAATTACGGGTTCCAATTAATGCTATTCAAAGTAAAGGCAAAGGAGACAATATATGAGACGGCTCCAATGACTTTCTTGCAATCAATTTGGTCATATTTCATTTCCTCTGTGCAATAAGAAATTATGCAACTATTTATAAACAATCTGTCACATAATCACATTACATGACTAAATGTCCCAATAAACCATAATAATGTTTGATGTAAGTTTTCCATGCACTATAGGTTTAGTGGGTCCAACTTCCAACCATGCAACCTTTGGTAGTGGTGCTTTGAATCCATAAAATTACAACAAATGATAACTTTTTGCTTTGAGCATTTAGGATAAGTCCTCTCACATCTCTTGACCGTGGTTTGTTGATTCAGAGGCCTTCAATCACATCAATGGCTCCTCTAAACATTCGCATAATGTTCATACTACGATTACAAGTACTCAAAACATTTAGATCGTTGATGATATTACTCTTACTATTACTAATGTCAAAAACATTAATTAATTCTTACTTTAAGGATGTGATCATAGTGTCTTCTAGCCAGTTTTAATTTTGATTCTTTAGTTTGTAATGGTCTTCTAAACATGTATGAGCATTGACACATGAACTTGGATCATATCCAAATTTTCTTATTGTCTTGTTGACTTATTTATTGAAAAGTGAATTGATGGAAGAAAAAAAGTTTCCACATGATTTTTCTTTTGAAAATCTCACATTGAACTTTTCACTAGTACAAAATATACATTCTACGTCGGTTATTTTATGGATTTTACGTCGGAAAAACGTGTGACGTGAAAGTGGGAGACGTAAAATTTACGTCGGACATATAACAAATACGACGTAAATTTACGTCGGACATAACAAATCCGACGTAAAAAGTTGTAAAAAAATTTATAAAAAAAAAAAAAATGATTGCAAGCAGAACGGCCCGTTCTACACGGAGAACGGGCCGTTCTCCAAGCAGAACGCCCCGTTCTGCAACTCGGACTTGGCTCTCCTCCTTATTTTCCTCTACTGGTTTTTCGTCTGGCTTCTCTTCTCTGTTCTCCTCAGCTTGGCTTCAGCCACTGGTTGTTCCTACTCAAAATATAAAAAGGAACACATAATGAGTACAAGAACTAATTATTAATGTAGACCAAGTTGTAACATTATCAACAAGAAAAAAGGTTTCACCAAGAAATATCACCTGTTTTTGCTTCCTCACCCATTTGCCGTATGAATGGAGATTGAAATGTTAGAAAAATTATAAGGAAGGAAGGAGTATAGGAGGCGGAGGGATTTCAACGCGCAGGAGAAGAAGTTTTTGAAATGTCTCCAAATCTCCAGCTGCTAGTGACCTTCTTTTAAGGATAGTGATGTGCATTATTTACGTCGGACAAGGGGGGGTCCGACGTAAATTATGCAATCTACGTCGGAGGGTAATTGTGTCCGACGTAGAATGTATAATTTACGTCGGGCTCCCCCTTGTCCGACGTAAATTAGTTAGTTTTATTTACGACAATGCCACCGCGTATTTATAACGTCGTATTTTGGGAGTTCTGACGTAAATGCGGTGACGTAAAATCCTATTTTTGTACTAGTGTTGGTTTAACCAAAATAAAGTATATTAGTGAAAATAATTTTTATTTTATATAAATAAATTTTGTAAGATTAAATTAGATTAAAAAATTTATATTTTTAATATAATATTAGACTTTACTCTAGTAATTATTGATGGACTTATAAGATTATCTCTTATTGAATTATCAAATTACCTATAGTCGTTTAGGTTTGTAAACTCCACCAATTACATTATATTCTACAATTTTTTTATACGGGATTCGATCTCCATACGAGAAAAATGCAGTGAAAAAACTGTCGCAAGAGGAATTTGATGTGTAATAATAAATTCTGTGAAATGAAGCATTTTGTGAATTGCGACTCTGTTCAATATCGACATTTAGGTGTAGTTACTCTGACCCCATTTATTTTGTATTTATAAAGCGCACATATATTATAATTAAAAAAAAAATCCAAAATGATGTTAGAGCTAACAGATTTGCTAACATGACTGTCAACCTGTAAACTGTAATCAAGTTAAGAATAAGACATCTTTTACATCTTAATTAGTGCTGAAGGAAACAAAACTGCATTGGATATGAAATCCTGGATGTTTTAAAGAATAAAATGAACGTTTTGAGAATTGTTTAAAACAGAGGCAAAATTCAAACTACTTGTCTGAGTGAAAAGGGAGCATAAAAGCCTTTTTAATTAAGCCGTGGAGCTGCCTCTAAAGTCAAATGAAATGAAAGGTTGAGCAAGAAATTCTAACAGGGGACATTTTCGTTTATGTTGTTTTATATGATGGAAATAATTAGTGTTGTCACGTACAAATTGATATTTCTCAACAACATAGTGTGGACCGATGTGATATCACTTTTGCCTTTTGGTGATCATTTGAATTAGGAATAATGGCTACACGGCCCAACAACTACCATTTATGTTCATGCAAAGATGAGTTATTGGACGGTGGTATTCACAAGTAAAATTATTAGTTTGAAAGTAATATTCGGTAATAAATTAAAAGTTACACTTTTAATCTATTCATATATTATAAATTTGAATATTTTAGTTTCATCTCTCTTTTAATTATGTCGTTCTTTTATATTTTCTCTTTTTTACATAGTGATCAATATTCATACACTAATTATGAGATTGAGATTAAGTTTTAAGATTATGTATTTTTAGATAAAAATTATTTTTTAACATTTAAATTAAAATTATTATTAGTATTAACAGGAATAAGACACTCTGTCACTGTCTCTATTAAAAAAAGCAGTGAGCAGTTAATATTAGTTTGGGCAATTAAAATCAGGAGTGAATAATTACAAATTTTTATTTTAATTTTATCCTTAAGAGATGCAAACATGGAAAAAAAAGTGAAATATACTAAAAAGGTATAAAAATGGTATTTCATTTATATTGTTTTGATTCATTAAAATATAATTAATAAATTCAATTCGTTTAATTAAATAATTATATATAAAAATATATTTACTCCATACATTTATAAGCCTGAAAATTCTAGTTATATATAATTCTAACTCAGAAACAGTTATATGAACACGGACTCGTTCTTGTTTTAAATCATATCAAAGAATCTACGTAGTTAATTTTCAAGCCAGAAAGTCCTAAGAGTTCATCTCTGCTGCAGTTAATAATAATTAACTTTAAAGCATTCTATTTTGTAAACAGACTTTTGTTTTAGCAGAATATATAGACAAAACCTTATTAAAATAACAAGTTAGACTAAGCCTAAATCATTATACCATAAGAAAGTCTACGCAGCGTTCAAGGTTGTATAATTTCACGTTGTTCTTTTTGTCACCTTATTTTAGATGTCGCTTTCCTAAGCACAAATATGAGAAACCATAATAGTTCTTGGACAGAAATTTTTTTACGAGTAAAAGAATTACAATAAAAATCAAGCTTAAGTTCTTTATCTAAATCTCATTACTATATCACTAATCGATATCATATGATTACATATATCTTAAATTTAACACTTTAATGAGAACAAGTAAAAGTTCTCACTATATATTTGGACCAACACGGTTGGATTAAATTAATATTATTAAAATCATATAATAAATTCATGTGGAGCATTAAAAATAAACAATATTGGTTGAAAAAATGTCTTGTTTCTTAAAAAAATTGTTGTGTCACTACTGATATATATTTGTCCATAATTTTATACTATTTTATGGTATCAACAATTTTGTTTATTTTAAATGATTAATGGTTATTAGTTACCCTAATTGCTAAAATAATTTGATATTTCTTTTAAATATGTTATCTTGAACCGACATTAAACATAAATAAGGATTGAATGAGAAAGTGAGTAGGAAGCTGTCGGTAGACTTTACCGGCAGGTGGCAGCTTCAGAAAGCGACAAAGACTTGGCGCGGCGTTCGGCGGAAAGATAAACCAAAATTCAGTCTCTCAATTTCAACTAACCGCGTAATAAAGCAGATCAGAGGCACACGAGTGTATATCAGACAAATAAATATCATCAATAATATTCAATAGAATGTAGTAGTAAAGAAATGTGAACTAATTAAATAAAATAAAATCCTAATTATTTTTCCTCCCTATGTTTCTTTCTCGGTACATCTGATCTCCCTATGATTTCTTCCTTATTAGTATCCATCTCTTTAGCAATTGTAAAGCGAAATAACAAATGTCAGTTTTAATGAAATATTGATATGGTTGTCTTCATTCATTAATTAGACTTGAAAAGAGAATCGGAATTTTATTTAAGAAAATCTAATCACTTGTTTTTTATTTTTACAAAACTAATTAATCACTTGCTAATGAAATAAAACTTTTGGTGAAATTGTTTTTCAAATCACATTTTTTACATTCAAGACTCATTCCAGTCCTTTATTTAAGGGGAATAAAAAAATAGTTTGAATATGTGCCAAAACTTAAGCCTAAATAATTTTGGACGTTTATAAGCAAGCATTTGGTTAGGAGTGAAAAGAGAAGTGAGGTAAAGGATAGTCTAACCAAAGGGCATTTGAAAAACTAGAGGGTGTGTTGGGTGTATGTCCCCTTAGAACCCTACACATGTGCCTCCCATGTCGCCCATTCACATTTGTTACACGACACACTTCCCTCCCTTTCTGTCTCTTAAGCTTATTCCCATTATGGGATATATATATAATTTTTGCACCATTTCCTAGTGTGGTCGTGTGCCTAGGTAGCTCAAACATTTTATATATACACAAGAAAACTAAGAAGCAATAATATTGTATCGATGGCTTCATCAGGAAGTGGATCATCTCCTTGTGGGGCATGCAAGTTCCTTCGAAGAAAGTGTGCAGCAGATTGCATCTTTGCACCATACTTTAGCTCCGAACAAGGAGCAGAGAGATTCGCAAGCATCCATAAGGTGTTCGGTGCTAGCAACGTTTCCAAGCTGCTATTGCGTATTCCAGATCACGATCGTTGCGAGGCAATGGTAACAATTGCTTATGAAGCTCAAGCTCGCATCAGAGACCCTGTCTATGGTTGTGTCTCCCATATTTTTTCCTTGCAACAACAGGTATACCATTATAGAGTTATATATTAACCTCATCACAACTTCAACACTTTCCCCTCTCTCTATATATATATATTTGTGAAAAGGCCAAGCTAGCTTATGGCACTGCAGCTTTACTTCCAACTCTTGCAAAACCCCAGAAATTTTTTTCTTTCACATTTTACCCGGTGATAGAATTTTTGTAATTTTAGATATGTTTTAGATAACTGATATATAATAGTAATTTTAATGTGTTGACATAACAATTAGACACTCTACACTTACCTGTTCTATAAACAATTTATTTAACAAAGAATTTTATATTTAGATAAATTTTAGTTAACTAATATTAATTAATGGATTGACATAATAATTAAACACTTTATTCTTAAATATTTTGTAGACTATTTATTTACCAAGGAGGACCCGTGTTTAATCCTCTTCCCATCATGTGTAAAAGAAACTGTTAGAGTTAATGGCAATCTCTTACCTAGTGAACTAGGGAATATTATTGTTAGGACAAAAAAATGTATTAGAGAATGTGTTATTAATATTTATTTTTTCCCTTATGTTTATTTGTAAATGAGATGAAAAATTCTCATTAAAACTAGACATGTATTAGCAATATATTCTTTAATATTAAAAATTTTCTTCAAAAGATATTATGAGAGTCATAAATGGGAAAGAGGTAAACTAATAGTAGATTGAAAAATAAACATGACATTTTATGACATATTTTTTGAAACATGATATTTATGATGAGAGAGAAAAAGTATTAATTAGGTGGTTTTAGATTACATAGTTTTAATTGTTCTCTATATGATAATTAATACTATTAAAGAATTGGCTTCCATGAATATTAAAGAGCCAGTCCAAAAATATGATTATTGTTGACAATAAATATATGTATATGTTACTCTATTATCTAATCATCAATATACAAACCCTTCATCTTATTAGTTGACCATGATTTTTCTTAGCTTACTACTCAATTATTTATTGACTACAAATATACTCATGTCAATTACATATATCAATATCAAAATACAAACAAATATCCGATAAGTCATATCTTATTAATTGGTCATGGTTTTCTTCTCTTAACACAATTAGTTTTTCACTTTTGGTTTATATGTAGGTAGCATGCTTGCAGGCACAACTAATGCAAATGAAGGCACAGCTGGATCAGAACCAAATGGAGTCCAGGAATTGGTCAGAGAATGTTGGACAAACATTCAATCCATTTTGTCCCACTTCCATGAATAACCCTATATCTCCTCAGAGCTCATTTGATTCAATTGATTATAACAGCATCAATGATGAAGTGAGCATGCATGATGTTCAAAGCAGAGATGATTATTTCTCATTCCAAGCTTGTTCTAACAAAATATCATATAACAACAATGACATGGGTGAGCTGCAGGAATTGGCACTCAGAATGATGAGGAACTCTAACTCAGAATTAAGCTATCCTTAATTGTTTTTGTTTTCTTGAAGGATATTCCTTTAATGTTTAGGGGAGATAGCTTTTTGCATAGTGTTGTATATACTTATGAGTGCCAAAGAGAAACGTGCTTGCTATAGATGATATTAGGCTTTTCTGTTTGTGGATCCAATCCAAAACAAATCATTTTTTTTTGCAGACTAGCAAACTCTCTCTCACAATTTATATTGTGTTTACTCAAAATAGAATAGTAATTAACTTCTGTTGAAATAATTTAGAGTTATTTGAAATACAATAATATAAAGACACACGCTTCAACTACAAATACTGTTGGGTATCAAAAAGAATGAGCGGAATGCGGAAGCACCTGAGTAGTAATGTTCCCAAATAAAATCTTCTCACGAATTAAGTGACGATCTATTTCAATGTGTTTGGTCCTCTCGTGAAATATTGGATTTGAGGCAATATGAAGGGCAACTTGGTTATTACATATGAAAGTCATCTGTGTAACTTCGCCAAATCTCAGTTCTTTAAGCAATTGTTTGAGCCAAATAAGTTCACAAGTGGAAAAGGCCATAGTACGATATTCTGCTTCTGCACTAGATCTTGCCACTACATTTTGCTTCTTACTTTTCCAGGAAATCAAGTTATCACTAATAAAGACACAATAACCTGAGGTGGATCTCCTGTGGGAGAGCCTGCCCAATTTGCATCTGAGTACCCCACAACTTGAGTATGATTGTTGTAGCCATTTCTGAAGGCGAGAATATCTTAGAAAAACACATTTAATAGCCTTTGCAGAAAGTTTGTCTAAATCTGGAGAAACATTATGAACAAAACAAGTATAACCAGACATCTAGGAGAGACATGAAATAATGGGTCATTCGGAAAAATGATAGAGTGAGGAATTTGATTTTCAAGAGAGGAAGAGGGCGTTATATTTATTAAAAAACAATCAATGAGGGCTACATCTCCCCAATGATGTACAGGAACATTCGTATTAATATTAGGGAGCGTGTAGTTTCAATGAGATGTCTATTCTTCCTTTCCACTATGCCATTTTGTTGTGGTGTGTGAGGACATGTGGATTGATGTAAAATACCCTGTGAGGATAAAAAAAAAGTTTAGTAGAAAAATATTCTTTATATTGTCACTTCTAAAGATTTTAATTACCTTGCCAAATTGGTTCCTAATCTCATTAAAGAAAGACCTGAATATAGATAAAAGTTCACATCTATCTTTCATTAAATAAACCCAAGTAAATCGAGAGAATTCATCAATGAAGATTACAAAACATCTAAAACCAAAAGATGTGACATGGCTTGGTCCCCAAATGTTCGAATGAATGGTAGAGAAAATCTAGTTACATCTTTTTTTAGTTTGTTTAGGAAATGATGACCTAACACATTTTCCTAATTGACACGATTAACATTTCAAAACTGGAAGTTGCTTAAGACTAGGAACCATTATCTTCAATTTTGCTAAACTTGGGTGATCCAAACGATCATGCAAAAACTTTGGTGCTGAAGTTGCAAAACAGGACACAGGTGGGTTGGTTTCTAGGTAATAAAGGCCTCGTGATTCATGTCCTTCGCCAAACAGACGGTTTGTACCATGTTCTAGTATGACAAAGGAATTAGTATCAAATGTTACTTAACAATTTAATGAACGAGTTAATTGACTTAGAAAGATTAAGTTATAAGGACAATGAGAGATGGGTAAAATAGAATTTAATTTTAAAGTAGACAAAGGAACTTGACCAGTTCCTTGAGATGCAACTTTGGACTCATTTGGCTACAATAACAAGATGAGGAACTTTTAGAGAAGAGATGTATGAGAATAAGGAACTATTATCAGAAATGTGGTTAGAGGCACTTGAGTCAAGTCTCCTTGAACCATGACCTTCCACAAATTGAGAAATACATGCTGTTGAAACACTTGGCATAGAAGAAGATTGGGCTTGACTGCTAGATTTTTCAAATTTAAACCTCAAATATTCCTGGTACTCCTCATCAAAAAACTTGGAATTTGATTTTTTAGATTTAGACACATGGGCTGCCTTGTCACGAAAACTATGCAAGGAGTAGCAATTTTCTTGTGTATGACCAATATGTACACTGGCAACATCCACTTCTGCCACCACGTCTTCCTCAGTTGCTACGTCCTCCTTTTCCATGAGGTGCTACCATTGCTGAAGTTTCAATAGTTTTAGCTGGGTTTTCATCTTTCACTTAGGTAGGAACACGAAGAAGTCTAGTAACTAAGCTGTCCATGAAAGAGATTTGATCATCAGTCAGAATTTGATCATGCACTTGATCAAAATTTGAATGTAAAATTCTCAAAATTAGAACCATATATAACTTATCAAGTTTTTTGTTGAAGTTCTCTAATGAGTCTGTCACAAAAAACTTTTTAGTTCTTGTTGAGAGAAATGGTAAATGTGAAGAACATTTCCTTGTGTATTGCAAAGCAAAAGATATGTTTATATACAAAGTAGTGGGCCTAGGCCCATGAGATAAAACTATATCTAACAATCCCCCTCAAGCTGGTGTATATAGATCATATGCACCAAGCTTGTTACAAATATAATCAATCCTAGGACCTTATAATGATTTGGTGAATACATCTGCCAACTGATTAGTAGAGTTAACAAACTGAGTAGTAATGTCCCCAGATAAAATCTTCTCACGAATTAAGTGACGATCTATTTCAATGTGTTTGGTCCTCTCGTGAAATATTGGATTTGAGGCAATATGAAGGGCAACTTGGTTATTACATATGAAAGTCATCTGTGTAACTTCGCCAAATCTCAGTTCTTTAAGCACAAATAGGAAACCTACAAAATAGGGATTGTCTTGACTTGAATTATATACTATATGCATTTCATGTTCAATAATGATGCATAACTTTGAATTATGTGCCCTTCGTCTCTTCCTCCGTCCTAACGTCGTCCTTGCCAAATTGAATTTTTTTCTCTCGAGGGAATTCATATATATATATATATATATAGTAGTTGGGCATCGATAGGGGTTCCACGCATATACACATATCTCCATATTGGTGAGATATTGTCCGTTTTGGATCCAAGTCTTCACGGTTTTACTTTTAGATATCACTCAAAAAGGTCTCTCTACCAATAGAGACAATTGTGTATATATAAATTCATGTTCATCCTCTTGTTTAAACGATGCGGGACTTTGGTTGTATCCCAACATATATATATATATATTAATTTGGATTTATTTCTGTTAATAATAGATAAGCACGAATTCGACTCCTTAATTCTCTGTCCTTATTCTAGGTTATTATCAGTAGTCGCATTCACATTAATTGTGAGTTATTTGTAAATAAAAATAATAAAAAGATGAATAAATTTTTTGGACACTTTACTATGAGCGTGTTTGGAAAAATTAATTTCCACCATTTTAGCTATTTTGTAGAAGAAGAAAAAAAATTGTTTGAATTCTTTTTGTATATTTATAATAATATAACTGAAGTTTGTAAATAATTTACGAATATGATAATTTGAAATTTATAATTTTTTTTGAAAAAATTATTAATGATATAAAAACTGATTAATTATTTTATTATATTCAAACAAAATTAAATATTTTAAAATATTTTTTTAGTAAATTTGTCCAAACAAAAATTTATTTTTGTAAAACTCTTTAAATTTTACTACTCATAAACTTCACTTTACTTAACTCTTTATTGGTATGTGACTACATTTCACTCAACTCTTTGTTGATTAAAATCTCTCGTAAATAATCTTTTTTTATACGTCTATCCTTAGAAACGATTATAAATTATTTAATGTATTTTATCTTCACTCACATTTTTTAAAAACTTTTCTATAAAATCATCTATTCTTAAATCGTTCGAGTCAAGAGTCAAGGTACACTTAATTATAAAATTCTTAAACAATAAACTATCAAAAAATATATACATCTTATTATAATATAAATAATCTTAATTTTATTCTTTTTTCTTTTTAAGTAATTTTCAATTATACAATCTCTCCTATGTCATTTCGATGTATTTAATATATTACAATTCTGATTGTAACAATAGCTGATCTTATGTATAATTTATTATTGAAATAATCTAATTTTCAAAAATATTTCCAAACACATCCTATATATGATGATTCTTCCTCTTTTGTTTTTTTTTTTTCGAAGAAACGAAAAAGCAACCAAGGGGACCAAAAAGAGAACGTGCATGAGCCTTAATCATAGCATGAGTCCATTTGTCTATAAAACCTTACTGCATGTTTATGTTGCAAAAAGTTGGAAATGATCAGTAACTTAAGTCAAAAGTTATCAAATCGCTACATTTCTCAACATGTTTCGATCCAAATGCAATGTTTCCTTGGCTGTAATGACGAGACTTATATTAACGATTTTGTTTTCGAATATATATATATGCACTTTTTCTATTTTCTTTTTTATTAAATTTTCTTAAATTCTACTATTCTTTTCTCGTCACTTTATTTATTACGTTTATCACTGTAATTTTCTTTCTTTATCTTTTCTTCTTCTTTCTTTCACCCATACATTTATTATATATGGTGGAATTTTATCCTTGTCCCTCATACAAGATTCGTGGTTAAAGGCAAGCATAATCTTATAGCTAGGGTGAGTTATATTGGACCCGACTATTAACTCATTTTGTAAATTTTAACAAATAGGTTTGGCAAACATTAGTGTTTTTTTTCTTTCTAATAGTACCTATACAGCGATGATTTGTATGCATGTAAGTAGACAAAGTGTTTCCTGGATTAAATGCATAGGCTACATCACAAGTTTTGTTTCTCCCCACTCTTTGGTAACAAGAAATCGAGATCATCAGACACCTGTACATAGAAGACAACTTCCAAAAATACAAAAAATACTGCTTTTTATAACATGAAATTTTCTACCAAAGTAAAAAGTGGGAGCTCATTGAAAAGATTTATGGGAAAGGTAAAATCCATTTTGTCCAAGAATAACGTTATTTGGACGGTTCACATATAACGTTATTAAAAATTAAGTTTTAGGTTCATTAAAAAAATTATTATTATTTTTTATAAATTAAAAAGGTCACACTATTGACAAAAGAGACTCATAATTAACCAAAGATTTAGATATATACTTATTTTATTTTGAAAAATACTTTTTCAAATTTGTTTTAAACTTTGTTTATATTGTTAGGCTATGTGAGAGAGAGATTAGAAGGGAATTGAATAATGTCAATAAAAAATTCAAACATTTTTTAAAATAGTGAAGTAGTATCAAAAGTTTTATAAGTGCAGATAAAGA